CATAGAGCCTTCCTGACAAACAGAATCTTAAAAGTGTGGCCTGCATTTGGTTTTCTTTCTTTTATAAAATGCAATATTATCAAACTGGACTAAATCCTTGGTTTGGCACCAGAACATAGCAACAGAGACCAGACTCTTCAAAAAGAAGAAGTAGTCCCAGTGAACATAAAGCCTTAAAGAGAAGGACATCATTCTGAGTATTGTTTACATTATTGGGATTTTATTATAAAACAAATACTCTTCAGTTAATATTTATAGCAGTTTTAAAGTTTGCACCAATGTCTAGTGGTAATCCTTGGGTTTATACTACCTTAAGTCCTCTATAGCAGGGGTCCCAAACATTTTAGCCTGTGACCCCACAGGTAACAACAATACAGCCTGTAATGAATCATGTAATACAGTAAGATCCATAAAAATTCATATTGTTATTTCATTCCATAGTTATTTTTAAATAAAGAGTAAAGCAAATAAATTCAGTGTTGAATAAATGACATTTTTATATGTTCTGATATATAGATGATGATGTTTCAGACAGACAGACAGACAGACAGACAGACAGACAGATAGATAGACAGATAGACAGATAGACAGATAGATAGATAGATAGATAGATAGATAGATAGATAGATAGATAGATAGATAGATAGATAGATAGATAGATAGATAGATAGATTTCATGGTACATTTATTTACTCCAGAAAATATTCTGACACAAAAATACAAAGTGTTGTTTCACATCAAATAAAGAGTTAACTTAAATAAAGTTCTTAATAAATTAACTAAATGAATAATAAATTTACATTTAATTGAAATAGGGCTTGGCAATTCTTTGGATTTCCAATTTATCAAAACGTAATTTTCGAATCACAGAGGCACTCAATTTTAATCACACTGTATCTAACAAGAGTAAAATGCTTGAAGTGGGTTTGTCGCCATACAGAAAGGTTAAGAGAGTTGCATCCAGCACACAGCTTCATGCATGAGTCCAGAAGTTGGTATTTTTTTACACAACGATAAAGGAAAATCCTGCAACAATGGACTCTGGGACAGCAAGATTAAAAAAAAAATGAAAACCTGGGGTGAAACTTCTACAAGCATGACGACACAAACAGCAATTTCACTATATAAAAACTATATAAAAGGCCCATAGAGCAACAAAAGAGGCAGCTGTAGTGTCATCAATAAAAGACCAACAGCCTTCACTTATTTCCTCAGGTATCTTTAGCGTGCTCAACCAGAACCTAAGAGGTTAATAACTGATGTCTCAGTCCACTGAGTGGAGCAATCTGCCATCCTTGTGAAAGAAGCTGAGATCTAGCAACCATCCCCATTAGGGAGCAATTCCCCAAGGAAGAGCCATCACTCAAACCCCAGTTGGTCAGTCCGCCAGCCATTAGGCGTCCACCTGAGAGAATGAAAGGCTTTGAAACATTATCACCCTGAAGACAAGGGGTGGAAGCAGTGGAAAAGCTCAGGGGAAACAATCTATTCTTGCAGTCAAAGCTGTTATTTCTAAAGCGCACCTTCAATCAGACTTCATACAACTGCCACAAGTAGGAACCCCTTTTATTTTATGTTCAGCTCGACATTCACAGACAGTCTTTGGTTTTTAAAACTGCTAATTAAATAAGAATCAGATAAATTATTTGTGTACGTTCCACATAAGATGGAAGAAAGGTTTCAAACTTAATTGACTTCACATCACACACAGTGATGGAGAATCTGAATTACTTTATTAATACCTTGCGGGAAATTCATGTCTTGCAGCGCAACCGTTTACACAAGAGAGAAAAATAAGATTGTAAAGTACAATAGAGCAGAATAAAATATAATAAGACAGAATAAAATAAGTAAAATTCCAACTGCAAATAGTAAAATTACACCCCCCTCCCAAATATACAACCTTCCCATATGTTCCCATATAAGAAGAGGGCATGTAGTCAGCATGAGGCCTGAAACAACTCAGGAGCCGTTTAAGTTTTCCTGAGAACTAAGACCAGAAAGGAATTTCTCCTTTCAGTCCTCCTAGAAAAACAATACTGCCAAAGCAAAACTCAGATGGTTCAGGGAAAGATCCAAAAAATAGAAAATATCCAAAGGATGAAACTGAGCAGCTGAAAGTACCGTCAGAGGTCAGAGGAAAATCTACAGGTTGAGTAGAAATGAGAGAAAGACAATAAGAACTGAAATAAACACTGCTTACAACTAAGGAATACAGAAGACCTTCTCTAAGCAGATATGTTGACATGTGAAGCAGATGGAATATGGCGACAGGTGAGTAAAGAACAGGAAACTAGAGCTATGTTCACACTGCAGCCTGAAATAATCCAAATTTCAATTTGGCTCTGACCTGTATCTGATATTTTCATGACCGTATGAACAACACAGATGGATTTTTTTCAAATGCGACCTGTGTTTGTACGGCCAGGTCTCATTCATCCGACCAGAACGTCATTAATACTCGACAAAGGTCTCTATTCTTTGTCTCGGTATGGAAGAAACCATGGTGGGCAACAATATGGAGGACTTCTTTCTTTTCGATCTTCTTGGAAATATTTCAACAACTAAGCAAAAATAATTAATTGAGCAGTAATAAATTGAGCATTAAAGCCTACAGCAGGCAGAATCGGTCCTCTCGTGACACTGTCCTGCAGCCTTTGCAAAGACTCACCAAGAATGGATTAGAACAGGTTGAGGTCCCATGGACATCATTATTCAAAAAGGTCCATAAAAACATCAATCCCTCCTGCCTTGTACAAACATTTCATTCTGTAGGTACAAAATAAACATTGTTTCAACCCCATAACCTATGGAGGTATTGCTGTTGAGCATAAAGAGGGTGCAGCTCAGCATCTCTCCCATGAGGTTTGTCTTTACCTCCCTTTGCTGTGAACGTGATCCTTACTGTTATTCTAAAGGTCTTCTAGGCTTCAGGTAGCAGCTTTTTCTTAGCAAGGTCCATACATACAAATGCACAAAGTTGCTGTCAAGCTAATGAAGATTTTATTAAACCACTTTTGCACAAGTGAGACTCTAAGGCAGCAAAAACAGAGCAACAATGATATAACACATGGAGTACATGAGCACCCTGGGTTCGGCTCCAGTAACACATGCAGATGTTCCACCGGGACTCAGGCATGTAATATGAATTGCAATCAACCCTCATTATCAGAACAAACACGATGCCATATAAGCAAGTATAAGCAAAGACGAGATCCCCCCCCCCAAACAAACATGAATCAACGCTATCTTACATGGAAACAATAATTATCACTGCTCTCGAAACAGAGGGAAGAGAAACTCGTTCTTTTGTGGGATGTCAGTGGTTCTGACAGCGCCTGAGGAGCGCTGGAGAGATCACATCTGCCGCGCTGTCATAAACAGGAGGGGTTTCAAAAAGGCTGCGCACCGATGGCAGGGAAGCATGCTGACGGCACATGAAAAAGAGCATCAGTTCATCCCCTCTCTGCAGGATTTCTGCTCACCCAAAACTCTCCCTTTCCACACACACCCACAGCTTAGGAGACTGGGTGTGGTAGTCAACATCAAAGTATGATGGAAAGAGGCACATTATTAGCAAGACAAGACAGAAGCAAGGGAGGGGGGGGATCATTTAGACGCCGCTGAGTGGAGGGAATTACTATTCCTGTTCCGAAGGAAACACAGGAGGATGCAGACAGAAAGAAAGCAGAGAGACGGGTGAAAAATTACAGAAAAGGTAGAAAGCTGGAAGAATGAAAGGTTAACAAGTGCATGAAGGATAATTATTGCAGCAAAACACGACAGCAAGGAAAACATACAGCAGTTATAAAGAAAATCAGGAGATAAAACCAGAACCAGATCTGACAAAAGACCATCTAGTGACCAGAAAGACATCATCCCTGATCATATGTAGGCTACAGCTTTTCACTAGTGGGAATCCCCACTATTGTGAACAGTCCTACCTGAACCCACCGAGCCTCATCCTTGAGCTGCCGGGGTCACATATGTTAGATATGTATTTATTTATTTAGATATATATGTAGCTCTTCATGTTATGGAGACATTTTCTTCTTTAATGAGAAAGAGAAGACAATGAGAGCTTATTAATTAAATGTTCTTCAATCGATAAGATCTGCCAACTTTACATTAATTCATTAATTGATAATGTGACTCCCCACCAACTTCTAATCCAGCATTTTATAATTATTAAATCAATAATGATCACTTTTTGCGTTTCCTTTATAAGACTAAAAAAAAGTTTATTTTTTCCTCATGTGGAGCACTTTCAACTGTCTTGCGACTGAAATGTTCTACATGAATAAATATGCCTTGCTTTGCTTTGTAGCAGCCGCCATGCTGTAGTTTCCCCTCAGACAGAAACTCCATAACCCACAGAAAAATAAAGAACACAATGACCAAGGCCAATATTTCGCTTTGAAAATTTGCTCACAACTGATATTGCCAGTGGAACATCAAAAGGATTTATAGACATAAAAAACACATTAACATGACAAAGGTCTACAGAGCTCATTACCTCCGTCTCACAAAAACAGACAAAAAAATAAAAAAGCTCACAAACACATAAACCCCTCAAGCAGCAGAGATAACCGCTCTCCTCTCAATCCCCCAAAATGCAATTAACTATTATGTGGCCCGTTATAATCTGCCTTGTTCGTTTTTATTTTCCCCTTTTAAAAGCAGGGGCTTATCTTGCTCTTCTTCATACAGAGAAGCGCTACTGTCCCCTGGCAACAGGAAAAACAAAGTCAAACTTAAAGTTTCTCAAAAACTGCAGTAAAGGAATAGAGAGGCAGAAAGATGAGCCAACGGGACTTCAATCTGTCAGAGCTGGGGTTAATTACTGGAGCCCCTAAGAAAGTAAGTGAAATGATATGTTGCAAGATTACAGAGAGATTTCCTCTATGTTTGTGTCCAAACAGTGGAAGCTATACAAAAGAAACTGAAATGTAATCTGATTTCAATCAGAAAGATGCAGGGAATGAGAGGGCGTGTCATACCGTCGCCGCCCTGGCTGCCTTCTCTCTTCAGCATCTGTACGGCGCCGACGTACTTCTTCAGCTGGACCTTCAGGACTTCGTTCTCCCTGCATGAACAGAGACAAGAGAGAAATCTTAGAAGGCTCTAAAAGCCGTGCATGGTTTAAACTCCGTAATTTTTCTCCTCTAACAAACTGAATTGAATTTACGACTTTAAAGAAATCCACTGTTGATAAGTTAAGAGTGTTTTTTTTTTTTGTCCAACAGAAACAAGGTTTCGAAGGGTCCATTTATAAGTGCAAAGCGCGTGCCGTTGACAGCAGGTTGTTTACTCTGGTTTATGACAGCATGCGGTGTAGGGAGATGGTGTGAATCTTCTTGTGACATCCTGCCACCTGAGGAGTGCTGAAAATAACAGCACTCTGAACCTAATCCAGATGGTCAGGCTGAGACATATTTACAAAGATGGCCGCGTAGGAATCAGACGCTCAGATTTAGATCATCATGGACATCTGTTCGGATGGACAGAAAGCCATGGCTCTTGAAAATAATCTAAGAGCTCATAATTAACTTCTGCTTGTGAATTCGTGCAGGAAGTAAACAGCTGGCATCCTGATGAAAAACGTACATACAGTGATGTAGATTTGACTGTTTGTTTCATACCGACCACAAATATTAGTGTATTTCCCTGCGATAGTTTATAATGAACCAACTTGTAGATGTTCTTTTCTTGCCACTTTTTTTTTTCTCAATATAAGAATCTGGAGTGATGTATGCAAGAACTGAGACAGCTTTATTCTGATACCCCTGAACAGCACCCTATCCAACCAATAACCTTCAAAAGTCAGAAAACCGAGCCGAGCAACGAGATATTTAATCCGAGTCTAACTGCACCAGGAACCCAGCAGACAGATCATGTAGGTAGTTCTGGTCAGTAAGGTGCACAACGTGGCCAAATTGTTAAAACATGCATGTTAAACTGCCTCCTTGGGAGACAAAATTCATTCCAAACAGCCCTCAATTTCCCTCTTGGGAGCCAAACTGATAGCTAAAGTCCCTCCTTGGGAGCCAAAGCGCGCACTAAAGGGCCCCCTTTGAAGCCAAAATACATTCCAAACTGGATTCAAGTGCCTTTTCGGGATCCAAACTTGTGCCAAACTGCCCTGTTGGGATATGGAGTGTGTGTTAAAGTGCCCCCTTGGGAGCCAAAATGCTAATGGCCCTCAAGTGCCCTCTTGGGAGCCAAACTGCTTGCTAAGGTCCCTCCTTGGGAGCCAAAGCGCAGGCTAAAGTGCCCGCTTGGAAGCCAAAAGACATTCCAAACTGCACTCAGGTGCCTTTTTGGGATCCAAATGTGTGCCAAACTGCCCTCTCGGGCTACGAAGTGTGTGCTAAAGGGCCTCCTTGGGAAGAAAAGTGCATGATAAAGTGGCCCAATGCGTGCCAAAGGACCCACTTTGGAGCCAAAATGCCCTCTACAGCGATGAGCATGCTTTATGTGTTCTTTTTTTCTTTTGTTTTTCCCCTGCCCTTCTGGTTCTGGTTTTATTTAAAGCAGGGTTGTATTCTAGAACCGTCTCCCATTGCTCTGTTCAATCAATCACCCGAACATTAAGAGGATGGATCAACAGCAGACCTACCAGGACAAGGACGTTCACCTAGAGTGACAGGATAGAGGAGACCATACATCACAGCGTAGCCAATAGGCCAAATAACCAATGTATCAAGAAAGTGTGCAAATGAATTAATGCCATAGAATTTAACAATTAGGAATCAAATTTACTTTGCTTTGTTCTATGTTTTTGATAAACCCTACAGTCTGTATAAGGTCCCAGTCTTTATCATTAAGTAAATAATGCCATATAGCTTCTTGTAACCTTCTCCTTGCTCATGCCTTTCTACAAACCCTTTCATTTGGTAGCATCTGTGAAAATTTTAAAAGGGTTTTAATGTGAAAAAAGGAGGAACCAAGTAAATGTTTTGACAAAGATTTAAAAGCATTTTGTTAGATTTGCTGCAACTGTTCAGTCCAGCTCGTGACATGAAATCCCATCTCCAGCAGTGGATGTTAACACCGTGACTACTAGTTGATCTGTTGAGCAGAACCATCTGTGCAAAGCCTTTTTTATTTACCACCATCTGCACCATTTATGCATGCATCCATCTTTGTTCAATGTGCCCAGAGAGATGCTGTGCTTTTGCAGAGATAAGTATGGGTTTTAGGTATTAGGTTTTTGAATGATGAATTGTCCTTTTTTTAATTTCCATTTCTTCTTTGTTGAATAAAAAGAAAGAAATCAAAAACACATTTGGAAAACAATCCACAGGCAGAAAAGCAGCTTTCAGTGTGCCAAGAATACATAAAGTAGAATGTGGTAAAAATCTTTTTTTAAAGTCTCTCTCATGAATTCAAAGGAGCAGCAGGTGCTTTTGAAGGTCTGCTGCAAGCCTGCCCGAAAGCTAAACTCAGTTGTTGATAGCTCATAAATCCTCTTTAATTGCACTGAAATGTAAGTGTGTGTGCAGGACAGTGGGTGTGAAGTCAGACACAGGGCTGTAGATAAGGGGACAGAGCAGGAGACGGCGGTCGTCTCCTTACAAACACAACCGGTTGAACACGACTCACTTTCGTAAGGGAATCAATCACAGCAGCAGAGCAGTTTTGTGTCCTCGGTGGTTAAATTTAACCGCCTTTGTCTTTTCTGCTGCCGCCTCTAACCCCCACCAGAACGCCTCATTCTCTGTGGTTGAAATCTGCTGCCCTGCTTATCAAACTTCTTTCACGACCAACAAAAGCGGCGCCTGGCAGGAGACCTCCTCCATCCACATGACAAGCTCTCAGTGGAACCATCCACACCGTTATCGGAACCGCCCGCAGTCCAGACGCTTTCTCGGCTTGATTAAATTATGGCTAAGGCACGCAAGCGTGTTTGGCTCAGACTTTGGAGGAATACAAAGCTTCTCACACATTCTGATTCTACTCACTCTGTTATGTGTTGTTCCAGCTACTTTAACTGCTGTTATAGCTAACCTTTTGAAGGGAATTTAACCAGACCTAAGGCTGAAATCACTAGAATCTCATGTTTTCTTTCAACTTCTGCCCATTTTCTCTGAATGTCATTTAACCCTTTATAGGGCAAATTACGGTTTTTCATCACTTGCATACCGCTTACAAATGGAGCCCCCGTCCCTAGAAGGTCTAGAAGCACAAGATCTATATCCAGCCATTCAGCAAACATACTGCTACACGGCTGTACGTCTTATTTTGGCAGTTGACTGATTAGATGAGTCCTTAAATTAGCTTCTGTAAGTTAAGTTGGAAAAAAAAAAGTTTAGTCAAGAAAAAAAAGGTAAGCTTATTAAAAAGTTAAAAAGTAAAGCTAAAAAGTTAATAAGCCAAGTTAAAAATTATATTTAGGTTTATAAACAAAAAACATGTAAGTGCCAGTATCAGCTTTAATGCCCCCAAGGTTATGTTGTACCAAAAAAAAAGTTTCTTTCACTCCGAGTGTTTTTCATGCATTTCTTATAGAAGCACTTTTGTTATTTTTTTCTTAATATATTCAGGCAAGTTGGCGTTTCTTGTTATTACATTGACATTAATTTTTTCCATCAAAATATCCATTTTTTTTTTTTTAGAAAGGTAATAAGGTACAGTATTTTCCTGGATTCCAATAACACTATTGGCTTGAAATGTTAATTTTAAAAGTATTTCATTGCCCTATAAAGGGTTAAATAATATTTGATCTCTGAAAAACATCACAAAATGGATTAGGCACCTTACATTAGCAATTAGCATAGTTAGTGCAGCTAGTATTATAGAGCATCAGAGCATAACAGACATAAAATAAACACAGCTATCATGAAGCAACAGGAGAGTAACTGTTTGAGCAAATGTAAATGAGTCAGTTTAGATCAATTTTAAAAGCAGTGTATATTTGAAAACTTTTTTTTTTTTTTTGGAATACAGAATTTCAATGCTTGGATAATTGATCAGCAGTGTAATGTTTGTGGAATGAAATGGGAGATAAAAATGAAAAAAACTGAAAAAACAGCAACATTAACGAGTGTTTGAAAAATGACAGAAATGAATCTGCTTCTGGTTAAAGTCATAACCTGACCTAACTAATCGCTCATTGGGTCATGCATTAAGATCTGTGTACTTCTAAGCCACAATTGGAAGAATTTATTTATTTTCATGCAGAACTTAAACATGTTTAGCCAAACTTATATGAATAAAATCAAGCTTCCATTATCCAGTCTGCAGCCATACAATGAGATGAAACCTCTCTTCTCAAGTCTTCAAAAACCAGGCGTTTAAAAATAGCCGAAGGCCTGCATTCAGCAACGTTCCAAGCTGCTCCGTCTTCCCTGGTATCATAAAATGCTCTCAATCCAGAACATGCTTCCAATTTTGACACATGCTACCAGTGCAAAGTTAATTTAGCGAGGAACTCCTCCGTTTGTTCTGCTGTGAATCATTTATTTAGAGCAGAGAAGATAGGCTGAACGAGTCTAAACCAAACAATATAAGATGTGCTTCAAGTACAAATTCTTTTTTTAGGTTACAACGCTCTGGAAATTAACACATTCTGTTGAATTATTGATCACTCTGATACAACTAAAAGGCTTTCAGCTAATGTAATGTGCTTGCCGTTTCCATTAGTTAGTACAGAAAAACAGCCTTTGCCAGATGGAACAAGCCAAATATGGGGTGGGGGGGACTCCTGGTAGGTAAACTGTCTTACCTTCAGCCATCTTCTCTGAATTCAATCAACATCTGGGAGATAACAGCATAAGCGCTCTGGGCTGATCTTAATTCAGATTGTATTTTACAGTTTGTTGGCAATTTATCCATCCAGTCCCTGCAGTCAAAACGATAACTACATGAAGCAGCTGTTATGTTAAAAATAATATCAATAAATTAAGACAATATTGTATTTCTGGGATTTGAAGAAAATACAGAAATTTCCTGAGGTATGACTTTATTTACGTTCCAACAGGAAAAGTCTTCTGGTGTCTGCTGGACAGCTGACATTTGTGTGAGTTAAAGATTTTCTTGCCGTCTAATTAAAAACCAACATAGAAAACCTAAAATAGAAGTTGG